GCATGTCTGGCACAAATACAAATGAATGGCCTGTCTCTTATCATGGAACGGGCAAACATAACGCACTGAGTATTGCTGCAGAAGGTTTTAAATTGAGTAAAGGTGTAAACTTCGTCCATGGAAAAGGTATTTATTCAACTCCGGAACTGGAAGTTGCTAAATTGTATGCAAAAGAATTTCAATATGAAAATGAGATATATATTTGTCTTATACAAAATCGTGTTAATCCAAAATATTTACAAGTTTTTCAAACTGAAGTTGGTACTTACTGGCTGAGTACAGCACCACCATCAGATCAAAGTGATTTATTAGAAACAGATTTAATTCGACCGTATGCATTGTGTATTTTTTAAAAAGTGATATTTTTTATTCTTCTTTTCTGTTGTTCGGTCCACTTTCATCTGTTTTTTTCCATTGTTATCTTTAATAAAACAGGAGGAGCATGTTTTTAAAGAAAAATACATTTTAAGCCGTCTTTTACTTAACTCTTGCTTATTATATTGTAGAGAACCGCTGATTTTTGCGCTTATTGTTGAGATACAAAAATATCTTTCTTTCTTTCTTTTGTTTATGGATGAACAAAATTTTTAAAGTAGAAATCAATTGTCGTTTGTCATCTCGGTTCAGAAAACACAAAAAATAAATCAATAAACCAAAAAATTATACAGTAAAAAATAAATACATTTAGATAAAAAACGCAGAAAAGCATTTCCCATTGGAGCTTTTGGAAATATATGCGAACTAATTTAAAAAAGTCTCATATTAAATTAGATCGCATTAATTTCCAGAAGTTCCAATGAGTTGTGTGAAAGAGAAAATAAATACAAACGGATAAAGAAGAGATTTTGACTAGAAATTTTGTGTATAAAACAAATAATAGTCAACGTTAAAAATAATTTCGATCAAGATTTCGACATCTAAAATGAGTAAACAAATTTCATATGATTAGTATTTTTAGGAGCGCAAACTGAACTCGAGAAATAACTGATAATGTCAAAGAAGAACGCTGACGTGCTTGTCTCGCAACGAATTACTTCTACTA